TCTTTCCCTCTCTTGTGGTGCCTTCTTAACGACCTTTCGTGCGGCAAAAATGCCATCTTTTTTTAAAATAATTATGACAACTTAAAAGAAATTTAACGGTAAAAGGGCGAAGATTTGTGACGATGGGAACTGTAATTTTGGTTTCGAAGTTATTTTCTCCTTTAATTTAAGTGGAAGTTGATGTTTTTCCATAGCAAGGACGTGTGAAATCAGAAAGACGCAAAACTCAGAACCGAGTTTAGTATTTTGACTGCAAAATTCGAAAGAAAATACTTTCGAATATCCTTTAAATCATGATGGCTTCTGCTGCACGCCATGTTCGAGATTACTAAAGAGTGGACTGCTTGAGTTCGATAGAAAAACAAGGGAGTAAAAAGTACAGTTTCTTAGAATTTATTTTTAGGATAATTAGGTTAAAATGATAGGAAGTACTAATATTTATTAATTATTCAGATGATTTTTTTTAATTACTGAATTCATGTATTTGCACATGTCGTGATAAATTAGTTGAGATATGAATAAATTTGTTGTCGGAAAAAGATGGGGGCTTGCAGGTGGTGGTCGGTGATGAACTTCGGCTCCTTCTCAAAATATCAATTTTTTTCTCAAGGCTCAAGCTTTTATTTTTTTCTCATGAGAGGAGTGAAGTTTTATTTATAAAGTTCCTGTTACAACTAATGAAAGAATATGAATCACTTTGATAAAATGAATCTGATTGACCGAAAGAGGTTCCTTCGATCAGATTAAGTTTCATAGACATTTGAGTGTTTTAATAATGTAAGAATTGAGTGCTCATAGGCTCATTGGATTCGTCTCACTGAGACGCTCGATTCGACTATAAGCTCGCTAGCTTAAACATATGTTTGACTTTTCAAATATGTCCGCAAACTTTAAAAAATAATTTAATGGCTTGATCGGGATTTGATTTGATTCAAATCGGACCAATTTTAGGATTACTAGATCCGTCTCAAAGAGCCGACCAATTTGACTATAAGTTTGTTGAAATCGGACTTTTTGATAACTTTTTATCAAGCTTAAATATTTCTTTTCAGAAAAATATATCGAGATACATATCATATCCTGAGATTTATGTCTGATAATAAGTGAAAACTATTGAGAATTTCATAAAACTGAAAAATATAAGTCATAATTTTCTCATGAGTTTTAATATTTAGTGAGAATTTAAAAAATAGATAAAATAGGAAGGTTGATTTGTAAATGATAAGTTTGGATGGTCTATTGCCCCTTCATTTTTTTTAAAGAATAAAGAGGTGAGGATAAAATTAAATTCAAAAATAAAAACTAAGTAGGAGTTGAAGTCAAAACCCCCATAAATGTTCAAAACTCGGTATCTAACCTGGGAAAAGCCTAAAACAGAAAAAAAATGGAAAATTTCTTAACTTCTGCTCGTCGTGAATGTAGCTGCAGTTAACTACATCAATGATGGAGTACGGGTTCTCAGTTGGTGGTCCATAAATGGTGTGGCAAAATTTGGTCAAGTGTAGAAGATTTATGAAGAAGTAAAATTTAAAAATCTAACGAGAAGTTTCATTTAATAAGGTGGGAAATATGATACATTAAAATTAGATGACTTCCACAATTAAATTGAAGACCACGCAAATTCTAATCTTAAAAAACTTGTAAACAGACCAATCGCTGTGATGAGACAAAATCACAAAGACTTTAAGAGTTGGAAGTAGACTCAAATGAGTCCAAATAAAAAATTTGGGCATAACTAAATGTTACATTTTTTTGGGACGGGAGTCTCGTACCAGAGATATTCTGAAGAATGAGTGGGAAGAGGCTAAGAGATTCTTAGAGACATTCTTTTAGGGTCTAAGATTGACAAAGGTACTTCTCTTTACTTTTTTTTCTTCTTATTTATATACTAAGGAATATATGTACCCTCACAGGGTTTAGAGAATGAAGCATAAAATTAGGTTATGGGCTATTTAGTACTGAGCTTGAGCAGATTCATTGTCGAAAGACTGTTGGTGTGGATTTTCATTCTTTCAATAAATGATTATATGTATGATGAGATACTGAAATTCTCTTCCTTCTGCCTCAAAGCACTGCCCGTCGAGATTGGTGGTGTAGCCAAATTGATGTCAACTAGATTGGTGGGAAGTTCCAACCATCTCATGTGAGTTTGAAACGAGAACTCAGGCGGTGTAGACAAGTTTGACTGGAAGAGCTCGCTTGAAGATTAAAGTCAGATATCCTAGTTTTAAGAAACTCGTAGGAATGCTGATGCACTTTGAAGGTAATTGCATAATCATTTTGAGCGACGGGAGCTCTGCAACTTGTCCCTTCCAGATATAAAGCTAATGAGTATGATTGATTTGGTGGGTTTCAAACCATTTAATGCACAACTGGTGAGTTCGATCCATTAAGCCTATGAAGGCCATTTAGAATTTGGGTTTTCCTGTTGTTCAAAGAAATTATTTTTTGGATATACATTTAGTTTTTCAATTTTATTAGTACTTCGACAGAATAATGCGAGACATTATTTCTTTAGGACACTACCTCCATGGCACGCCCACCCTTCGAGGTCACAGCCTCCATGACACACACATTCATTTGTGTCGCTACCTCCACGACATGCCCACCCTTCAGGGTCATCGCCTCCAAGACATAACTGTTCCCTTGGATTGTTGCCTCTATGACACACCCTCCCTGAGTCATTGCCTCCACGACACACTTATAACCACTTCTATCACATGATTGTTTGCATTTGCATTTGTGTGTGTGTATGGATAGCGAGTCAGGCTTGATTGGCGAGTGACCAAATGTTGGTCACGATACCTTAACGAGTATTGCTTCCCAGATTGATCTCAACGAGCAATGTGAGTTAAAGTATCAGGATTGACACACGTATGACTGTGCTAAGGATTCAAGAGATCTAACTCATATCACAATACATGTTATGGGTCTGCATTTAATGGACCTTATTTTAAAAATAAAATATATATTTTTCTACTTATTACATTTGTCATAATTTTAAAATTATGCATGTAGCAAACTAGACTATATATAAGGCCATCCCTTTTATCAAAATCCAGCTTGGATGACACTATTTAGATCTCTTGGTTCTTTAGGACAAAGCTGGTGTAGGGACCGCGTTAAAGTCATACGCACCCACAGACTTTTTGTTATGCACTTAGATGTTGGTTATGACATTTCTTATTAGACGGTGTGCTAGGCTACTGATAGGGTGCTAGATGGTGTTTTCGACACCTCTGATTACTGTTCTTTTATCGTCTTGTGTGTTCTAACCATGCCTCACTTTTGTGCTTTTTAGTGTGCATGTGTGTGCCTGCTTTTGATATTCATGGTAATATATTATGATGGACTTCTGTAGGGAGTCATGTCATATATATCCACACATAGGTACAATAAAAAGGGGAGCATCATAATTACTATTATTAACCCTTTCGCATGTGTTGCTTAGATCCTCCACCGGCATGGCCCAGCCGTGTTGCACGCTTGCCTGGCTTTCTTGCTTCCATTGTCTTTCTGCTTAGATGGTTTTATAGTACGCTTAGGTCGTTAGATGGCTCTCCGACCCAAACGGGGAGTAAGTCTTTTTGTTGGGAGTGTTTTCAGCTTTGTAGCTGAACTTCACTTTCTCCTCTTTCCAGTGACATTCTTTCCACTTTGGCGGGTATATGTCTCATCTGCTAGAGCTCCACCTGATAGTCATAGGATAGAGTTTTGTTTCTTTGACCTTAAGGCTACTAAGGTTCACATGGACGACGTAATTTACGGATTGTTGATTGGAGATCTCTGGACAAGTTGGGTCGACTTCCTTCATGACCAAATAGACTTAAGGTCAAAGTAGCTTGGGATGCGAGTCTGTAGTACCTTAACCCGACTACCTATACCATCTAGGGATTAATCCTTTCTTTTGACTCTCTCTGTTGAGCCCTGTCGCTCTTTTTGCCTTTGTTGATATCATTTCGATGCCCTGATTGCCCATGAGTTGTCTCCCGTTTGGGATGCGACGATTTGTATGCTGCCCTTATGGCCCGTATGTGCTTTGACGTATCAGAATTCCTCATCAGGATGGTTCGATTATTTTGCAGGCTCCATATGATGATGAGTTTGTTACCCATGTGGGGACCGTGAGAGACTCGCTCTTCACTCCATAGCTAAGCGGGAGCATTGAAAGCATTAGAGCATTCTCATGCGAAATAACCATCCTTTGATAGTCATGTGCTAATAGTCACTACAAATATAAGCAAAACTCTTTTGGATTAAGAGTATTCTTGGGAAACCCCATCAAGATATAATTAACTAAGTGGAATACCTTCTCTTAAAAGCACTCTAGACCCTAAAACATGCAATACATGAATCTTTGGTTAATGGTAGTCTATGTAGGTATTTTTTCACGAATATTGGTCCAAAGTGCTTCCACCCAATCTTATCTGGGCGGACATACTAGACCTATCATTGTGAGGTATATTGCGTGTAGGCTCTCCATGTTCTTTTGCTTATTTGTCATCTTTGTCATATGTCCATCTTTTCGGGTGCATTTCTTTTCCTTATCATTCACATGATTCAAAAGCGAGACTTATTCAGAAAAGAGAAGTATGCGACGATGAACAAACTGACAACTCCTTTAAAAACAAAAAAAGAAATGAACGAAACTAACTACGAATGACACAAATAAAAGCAATGATAATAAAGAAAATCTCAAGTGCATCAGTTGCGACCTCGAACCATGCAAGTAATGCCTCAATATACATCGAGCTCCTATGCTATTTTATCCTGATGACGAAGATAACATGTTTTTGTAAATATTATGTTACGAAAAATATTTAAATTTGAAATAAATTTTATGAAGTTCATATTTTGTTTGAATTTGTTGAAATAAATTTTTTAAATTAATTAAAAATTAATTACAATTTATTAATTCATGCAAAAAATTAATTACTAATTTTAATATTTTGGTTAATATATAAAATACTTAACAAT